CACTTAGGGAACTTAATCAGAAAGCCTGTTTGAGAAAGAGAAAGTCTGTTTGACCTGTGGACATATTTCCTTCATGCCTTGAGGGTGGCCTTACCAAGGACCAGGACATTAGCCAGGTGCCCCTGGGAATGGATTTACACCACTCAGGCAGGGGACTCAACTTCACACCAGTCAAACAAACAGGAGAGAAGGGAGTCATAAGGGCTTGGATATATGGGACCTCCATCCATTTCCCCTAGGAATAGTAAAAGAGGTCTAGTTGCAACATAGTATTAAAATTAATGGTGCCATTAATTGGCCAAACCTCTCCATTGTTTACTTGACATTGGGGCCAGGCTGTATTATAAAAGATTAACCTTTTTTTCTTGAGGGACCCAGGGTTCAAATTTCTCCCAGTTGGTGAGCATGTGTTCCAAAAGGGGACTCTTAAAACAATGGACTAGTTCCCCCACCTAGACAGAATGTAGCAAGCAGAGAGTTAGAGGCATCTCTGCAATTCTCTGGGTTGTTTTGGGCCATTTTGAGCAGGGTGTGTACCCTGTTAAGCTGTCCATGAGATGCTCATGGAACTTAATAATGAAGAAAAGATGGTTAGCATACATTCAGTCAGCCTCAAGATTAATTTCCTCTTGGAAGGTTCTTTTAAAATCATCATTTTCAAAAAAATAAAAAATAAAATCATCATTTTCTTCTTTGGCTCAGTATCTGGTTCATTTAGCTCTAAATTCATATTATCCTTCTCGAAAAAGCATATGTGGACCCCACTGATTAAAAAAAACAACAACCTTGTCCTGTCAGATAAATTGGGGCAGATTTTATTAGCAAAGATATATATTGTCCCATAACATTGCCTAATTGGAAGAAAACAGGTTGTAATTTAAAAACAGACATTAATTAAATATCCTTACCATTTGTATAGAAACTCTACTCCCAGGGAGAAGACAACTTAGTTGGGCGTGGTTAAAAATAAATAAAGTAGCCCAGTATCTATAGAGGCCTTAGTGGCTTCTCTTTCTGTGCTAAACTCAACTCCTCCCAAACTATCAGTGAGAAGGAGGGGAAACACCCTTAGAGCAACCCTATGCTTGCTTTGGTGTCTTTTCTAAGTCAAATTTTGGTTTTCTATAATCACTTTTAAGGTGACCTGGCTTTCTGCAATAGAAACACACTCCTCTACAGTTTTGCAGCAGACCTCATTTAGCAATCAATTTTGTTGCCTTGCTCCTAGAAACCAGTGCTGATTTAATTGGAATAGGTCAGAATAACCAGCATTATATTCTTTAACAGTAAATAAAATTCATTTGCAAACCCATCAGTATCCTGAAGAAAGGAATACATACAATCAGTTTCCCCCTTTTGCCTGAAACCAGCCTTTCTAGTTTTTTATATAATTGACCTGTGCTCCATCTAGGAGCTTCTAATTTAATCAAGACAATCTTCCTACTCATTCAGTTTTAATTCTAAAGCAATTTTTTCTAATTTGCATGCAAAAAATTGATTTAGGCATCAAAAGTTGTATTTTAGCCATCTTAATTTGATATAACTTCCAGTTAAATTTTTCCATTTCTGTAAGTCAGGAGTGTTAATAGGGGCTGGGAGTGTCTGGCCTTGGAGGCATAATTTCCCATGTTGATTTTAGTTTTATTTTGAGATCTGCAGAGTCTGAATAAGCCTCCAGATATACTGTGTACTGGGTTAAAGCGCACTGCCTGTGTGCCCAGCTCCAAGTCATCACAAACCTTCCCATGTGTCTCACCCTTCTCTCCCACCTCCACAAAGATTCTCAGTCACTTAAGAATGCCAGAGATCTGAGCCAGAAGGAGTTAACACCACCCTCATCCTCAGAACCAAACAAGCCTAGGCTCACAGTCATGCAGTAAAAGATTTTGTTCAGAGACCCAGAAAGTAATTTCAATTGAAAAGCCAAAGTTAAAAATCAGCTATCCATTTTTCTCCTCCTGTCCTGCCTTAGCTTGGCTTTTTCACAACCTTAACCTTTAGATCAACTACGCGGATTTTAAAAAAGACAGATCAAAAAAATTCAGCCTCTTACCTCATAACAACAGGGGTGGGATCTGGAATTCCAAGGGAACTCACTCAAGCTCACCCAATGCAAATAAAGGAACCAGTGGGGCACAATGAGCCCCTGCTAGTACCTAGCACTGTCTGCTCTGTGAGGTGGTCCTGGGTGGGATCCTCTCTGGAATCCTGCCATTCTACACCATGATAAGACAATTCAAGTCAGTACAAGAGCCAGTTGGGCTGCATAGACTCAGGAAAGAAAGTCCCATCTGCAGGTTGCCAAAATGTTACCAGAAAAGGGACCTGGACCTGAGCTGGTCTGCCTACAACCAGCTAGTAGTGTGTGGGTTCTTGACCTCGTGCAGGAAAAGTTTCACAATACAGGTCCAGGTAAATTTTAGAGGATATTTATTAAAGCTGGGGACAGTGCTAGCCAGTTTGGCTCAGCAGTTAGAACATTGGTGCCTCCAGACCAAGGGGTCATGAGTTTGATTCCCAGGCAAGGGCACATGCCTGGGTTATAGGTTTGATCCCTGGCCCCAAGGTCATGCAGGAGGCAACCAGTTGATGTATCTCTCTCACATCAATGCTACTCTCTCTTTCTCCCTCCCTTCCCTCTATCTAAAAGTCAATGGAAAAATGCCCTTGAGTGAGGATTAACAACAACAAAAAAGCTGGGGACAGTGAAACAAGAAAGGGCTAGGGAAATGAGCCTCGACTGGTCTGCTTTGGCCCACTAAGAAGTCAGAGAAAAAGGGATCTTGGGGACAGGTTCATGGGGGTTTGCCTGGGATGAATTGCCACTGCCCATTGCTGCCCTGGCTGCAAGCCTTTTGGTGTCCCTTAGAGTCTAGGAGATACATACCTGTGGGGGGAAGAAGAGGTGGGTGTGCAGGTATGCTCCTAAGAAGGAGAGCATGCACTGGGTCCCTTGTCTTGAGGCTTTTATTTCTCTCTTGCAAGTGGGAAACTTAGGAGAGGTCTCAGGGGAGGGTTTCAACAGAATCTTCATGTTTTCTGGGCGTGCTCCTTCAGGATTGTGGTCCTCACTGATTGGTCACTGTCGGGTCCAGGTGGGTGTTAGTCATTGCTGCTGGTCCTGGTGTTGTCTACCTGATTTTGTTGCTTTTCTGAGTCTGGAGCTGAAATACAACTGATGCCTAGATGTTAGTTCTAGGGAGGTGACCTTCTGATTTGCTGTAAATTGTTCTGTCAGTTTGCTCAGCTATCTGCCTCAGTTTCCCTATTCCATTTGTCTTGGCTTACTGGCCTATCTCATTAACACTTCACCCCCCCTCCCTTTCTGTAGTCTATTCTCTTCCCTTGTTTCTTACCTCTGTTTTATTCTTTGACAGTGAATTACATAACCTCAGTGCCTCAATTGTACAACTGGAAAAAAAATAGAACTTACCTCTTAGGGTTATTATGAGGGCTAAATAACTAAACATGTAAAGTGTTTAGAACAATGAATTTCTGGTACACAGTAAGCACCTGACCATTTGAGCTACATTGTTATTACTATGTCGAAGTTGTTTTCTTTATAGTTTATGGTTTTTGGTGTTATTTAAGAAATACTTCTTGATCAATAGGGAGTTATTAAAGTGGATTGACAGGGCTTGGCAACTGCTTGGATTTCTGGTGGGGTGGTGTAAAGAGAAGGATTTATGTAACACAGCTCTTGTATTTCGGGCTCAATCAATCAGGGCTGCAAGGATATTGGTAAGAAGTAAAAGACATGAACCTTCTCTAATGTGAAAATCCGGCATCACATCTAACACCTTCGGAGAATTTCTTGGGCAAATAATACACTTGTAGACATATCTAGTCACAGAAAAACAAAGTGTGATTATAAATGGCTTATTTCTTTAGAATATAACATTTATTGCAATTAAATTGCATTTTAAATAATATACTGCTGACAGTGCATAAAAACATTGCTTTTTATTACTTTTTTAAAAAAAATATGTTTTGTTGATTTTAGAGAGAGAAAGGGAGAGGGAGAGAAAAACTTTGATGAGAGAGAAACATCCGTCGACTGCCTCCTACATGCCTCTCACTGGGGATTAAGCCCGCAACTTGGGCATGTGTCCCAATTGGGAATTGATGCATGGGACAATGCCCAACTAACGGAACCACACTAGCCATAGCAAAAGTATTGCTATTTAATCACAGCAAAGTATCAAGAGACTAGGGACTTATCTCAGGTAGTACATTTGAAGACAGAAAGCACACTTTTGTGGTCAAACCCAGTAGATCCCTTAGATGTCTTGGATGTTATCCAAGAATTGAATGGCTTGCCCTTCTCCATTGCTAGTGAGAGTGGAGTACTTGGGGAGCTGCTGGAATAAGCATTTCCAGAGGCCCCCACTGGAGGATGAGGTGTGGTGGAAAGCTTTATTTGCGTGAAATTACATCCCTGGGTTTGCAAAGTCCCATTTCCCTTAAACTAGTCCTGGAAAAGGTACAGCTGGGGATTTAGCAGAGCTAGAAGCAAATCTAGTGTTCAAAGCTTCCATTCCATGGTAGAGTTAAGTCTGGCACCATATCAGGCTAGTTCCATCCCATTAGTCCATTGTGTGTGGGAGTCCACATGGTCATGAGCCATGTGGGCAGATGCAGGGGAGTGTACCCCTGCAACAAGAGAGCCAGGAGTATGGGCAAGCAAGAGAGAGAGAGACAACCCCTTTGTTTAGGAGTTTAGATATCAAATCTTCCCGTGCCTGCAGTGGCCATGCCTATTCTGGACAATTACCTGTTCCTAGGTGTGACTGACAGGCAGATACGTTCCCTATTTCATTCAGACTTGACTGGGCATGTTTCTATTTGGCCTTTCCTTTGCTCCTTTCCAGTTAATTAATTAACAGCTGGGTTAATTACAACGGTATGTGGGGGACATGAGCACTAATTTAAGCCACAAAATGATTCTGCATCCCTCTCTTCCCAGTACCCCACGAGAACCAGGCACCAGGCAGGGGAGGTTACAGCTCAGCAGGGAGGAGCAGCAGGACGAGGAGGCCAGGTAGCAGCAGAATGAATGCAGAACTTGCTCTCAGTCCTGCAATGGGAGGAAGAGAAGAAAAGTTTTCTCTGTGCTGTTTCCAAAGACATGGGCCTCCCTAACTTTTCAAGCTTCACCCAAGAGTAAAAATCAATAGGGTGGGCTCTAGGGGTTCCCTATACTTGGCCAGCAATTAGATTCTCATTTTGCCTTTCAGGGATTCTCGAAGTACTCAGGATTACCAGAGAGATGGTGTGGACTGTGAGAACACATCCCTTTGGAGGCTCTGAATTTAGGGTTACCTTGAGTGAACTGAGTTCTCAGGACTTAAAGGCTCCTCAGCCCCTCCCATTGTCACCTGTGCTTCCAGCTACAGGTGTCTCAGTAAGAAAGGCTTTGCCCACCTGGGAGCCCCTCCATGCTTGTTTTTGTTCAGCTAGGAATATGTTTCTGGGTCTGGACCTCATGGACATTCACCTTTTGCAGCAACATAAATACTCGGCTCTCCACCAGCCAGTGTTAACTGGAGTTCTGTCTCTGGGTGGGAGCTGGCTTCCTCTCCTGGGGTTCTCAGCTCAGCCCGCCTGAGCCTGAATGAATGTCGACACGGGGCTGAGATGATGAGCAGCAGCTTTCTCTGCTGGACTGTTGGCCAGTTATCCTGTTTTTATTAGGCTTGATCCAAATTCAAAGTTTCAATATGTAAAAGCTCAGAGTCCCCCGGTGCTCACTCTCTGTGGTCTTATTTCTACCCCAAACATTTCTCTTGTTTCCGGCAGCCTTTTGGAACATCAAGACTAATTTGGTTGAAACTTGATAGAAGCTCAGTCCCCCTGCAGCTCAGATCACTCCTGGCTAGACCCTGGCACATCAACAAAATGTAACTTACTTCAGCAACAAACACTGGAATCCTCATTCAAGCCTGGCATTAACCACAGCCCTGGGTACAGAGGGAGCAGGAAGACAAAGTCGTTCAGCATGAACGAGATCACCAGACTGTACACAACTTATTATCATAGAGATGGTGAGCGTATGGCTGAGATACATACAAGGTTCTCCATGGGGGAAAAAAGGCAGTATTTGTTAAGCAATGTCTATGTGACAGTCTGTAAGTTAAGAACTTTGTCACAGACACACTACTGAGATATTACTATTTGTATCCTTACTTCACAGATGAGGCAATTGAGACAGATTGCTCAGGTAACTTGCTCACATTCATGGAACTAATGGTGGTTGAGCCTGGATTACCAGTGAGGTCATCTGACCCCAAACTTGTGGCATGGAGCAGGGTATACTACTTAATTTTGCCTGAAATGATCAAGGAAGGCTTATGATGAGAAGTGATATCTGAGCTAGATCTTGAAAGATAATTACTTTACTAAATGGATAGTGTCTAGGTTGGAAGAACTATGACATGAAGTCAGAGATTTCAGGCCAGAAAGGATAGGTGTAAATGCACAGAAACCTGAGAGCCAGGAAAGGCTGGGTAATGTGGAGGCAGCCCCTGTGGCACTTTCTCACCCATCCCAGGGCTGGACAGGTAATAGCCTTTCTCCATTACTGATATGCCTTCACCAAGGTTTGTGTCCTCTGGTTTTACCATCCCTAACCTTCATCAGTCTAGGTATCATCCCTGTGCATGTGGTCTACTATATGACCCATTTGTGCAAAACCTTTCAGTTCTTTGATCTCCTCAGCTCCAATATTATTCACCTCTCTTCAATCTAGCCAACCACTTCTATGGAAATATCCTCCAACCAACTCAGAACCTGTAAACTACCCACACTGGAAATCTCAAGGTCCACCATCCTATTTTCTGATCATACTCCCCTTCCACTCAGTTTTCACTCTCTTTCTCCTAGAATACCTCATAGAGAGCTCCAGTTCCCCAACCTCCCTTGATCACCATAGCCACCTGCTCAGTTCGGGCACCCTCATCTCCTGGCAGGATTCCTGCAGTGGCCACACCGTTCTGCCTGGGAGCAGGTCTCCCAAGTCCCTTAAACCTTTCCCATACCCCCTGACATATCAGTAGTTTCTATAACTCATGTTCCCTGGTGCCTGGCACATCTTTCTGACCTTTTGCACAGCAGGAAATTTGAGAAGATGGCCGGACTAGAAACTGCTTGAACTGCTCTCTATTCCAGGATATCAGCCATGTCTTCAGCAATTGGTTGAAGGCCTCATTGTTCTCTGCTCTGTGGTTTCTGGTAGCGGAGCGCTCCCTCTCCTACTTCATGATGGCCTCACCACCACGACCTGGAACACAGTCCCAGACTCACCTGAGCTGTTGACATTGCCGTCTTGTATTCTTGGATTTTTAGTGGAACTATAGGAGCAATTGAAGTTACTCTTAAATTTTGGGGGACTGATAAGTGAAATGCTATAGTTATTTGAGATGACTTGCTGAAACACCTCGTAGCCTGGAATTAGCACTACCTTTTCTTCTGGATAGAAAGAGAAATCTTAAATTTCAACACCCAAGCAGGTATGGATGATAAGCATTGTCTCCCCACCATTCGAATATCTTTTAGCTATATCTTCAGACAAAGATGATGAGGTAAATTGGCCAAAATGTACATTTCCTCTCGCACTGTAAGGAAGCTTTGCCTTACAGCGTCTATAAACTGTACAACACTTCCCTTTACTTTTGAGAAGCTGAAGAGCTCTTGTCAAATAATAATGAAAGGCTTTGAACTGAAAGTTAGATGAATTTTTACTGAATTCTCTTACAGCTTTGTCAAATTCTATTGCAATATTCCCGGTATAGGCCACTCGAGCTGTTCCTTGGAAATCATTGAGTTGTTCTGAAGAGTTTATTTTGTTCTTTATTTCCTCCCATTTTTTCTTTGCCTCTCCCCATTCATCTCTCAATTTTCTATTCACTTCCAGTTCTTTTAACAGCTGAGGTGCTAGTTCTTCCATTTCTTCATTACAGCCCTCATACTGATCATCAAAAGCGTTGTCAGTCACACCTAGCTCACATAAATTATCTAGCTCTACCCAGCCAGTCACCTGTAAAGAAGAGGTAGTGTTCTTTGACCCATTCACACATACTGGATGCTGCCCAGAACCCACAGTGTGGACTTCTTGCTCAGCATGAAATTTGACATGTTCCTGTCATAGGACTTATATATGGTACACACATGAAGAAAGATAAGTCTTATTATACTATGAGTAGTGTAAACGGAAAAAAAAAATAGGCTTTGTTACTCTGTTTTGTTTTTTGATATTAAAAAATAATATTTTCAGATTCATGTTCTCTAACTGGCTTTAGGCTCAGGCTCAATTGTGGAAACTCTACAGTTTCAAAGATGTGAGGGGAAAGCAAGATCCGCAGGACGTGAGTGGGAGGAGGTGATATGTGTTACCTGTAGTGTTATCCACTGAGTTATGATCAAAAAGTGAACCACTATGGCTAGAAGAGAGGTCATCTCCAAGATCAAAAGTAACTGCAAATAAATATAAGATAATGAAAGTGAGGTGTAAACATTAGTTTCACTGCGAGTGTGCTGATGAGTCAGTTCTGTGTTCAAGAATCCTTACTTCAGACCAGGAAGTCCAGGCTCTTATTCACACTGCCTTCTGCACAGATAACCAGGATTTCCGTCTGGGTCCTGCGTGCAGGGAGGAGTAAATCTGATCTCTGGCCTTCAGTAGGGAGCTGGTAAAGAAATAATTAATCTTGCCTGGCCGGTGTGGCTCAGTGGTTGAGCATCGACCCATGCACCAAGAGGTCACTGGTTTGATTCTGGTCAGGGCACATGCCCAGGTTGTGGGCCCGATCCCCAGTGGGGAGCATATAGAAGGTGGCCGACCAATGTTCTCTCCCATCGATGTTTCTATCTCTCGCTCCCTCTCTTTCTAAAAATTAATAAAGAAAAAGAAAAAGAAATAATTAATCTTGGTCAGAGGCAGAGCCGCATGTCACTCAGGTGGCCAGTGAGAAAACAGATCACATTTCAGCAGACTCTTCACAGGCTCTGACAGTCTATTCTCTCTTAGAGAAATGTTATGAATCTTTTCACAAAGTTCTTTTTTCCCTATCTCAAAGTTTTGTTCACCTGGGGCTCAAACATAAGTTAATACTTCTGAATATCTCTCAACGTTGTCAACTTTACGATCAGGGAGAGCTAACATGCCTGGACGCTTTCGGGGTTTCTTGGTTAGAAAGAGAAGTAGAAGTTGGTGGAGGGAAGTGGGGAAATTAAGTATATTCCTGTTCTGGCCTGAAGATGTAGGCATGACTAACCATAGGGAGGGAGAGAGCCCTTTAGCGCAAGGGACCGGGTGAGACACAGGGACCAACAGTATTGCCTCAGGATCCCAGGATAGAAATTGAAGAGTCCAAGATTAAGTTTTTAAATTTAAGAGGGATGGCTAGATGGCATGTCTGTCCTTCAATATGTTTTCCTTTTTCCCAGGTGTGACCTCACCTCCCTACCTGAAATATTTCTTACACAGAACGGACTTGGTGGCTTTGACATAACCACCACTATAGCAATCACCTCGGTCTTCAGATCTTCTCCCAGTCCCATCCAAACACCCATCCCTCCTCAGGGGGTCTTCTTGGTTTCCTGACATTCAGAGACCCTTCCCCTTCGGAGAACAGAACTGAGTTATCAAGTACCTGATCTCCTGCAGATCCTTGGTGATTCGGTCTGGGTCCGTCTCTGACAGAAGTACCTGAGAAGGCAGTGCTCTGGCCTTTTTATTTGGAGGAGAGATATACTTTCAGTTTCAGATTAGCTTTGAAAGGGAGGGGCGGTAGTTTATAAACTATCCCCTACAAAAACCTGCACATGGATGTTTATGGAAGCATTATTTATTATTGCCAACACTTGGAAACAACCAAGATATACTTCAGTAAGCAAATGAAGAAATACATCCAGACAATGAAATATTATTCAGCAGTAAAAAAAAAAAAAAAAGAGCTATCAAGCCATGAAAAGACATGAAGGAACCTTAAGTGCATCTAAGTGAAAGAAGTGAAAGAAGCCTATGGAATAAGGCTCCATACTGTGTGATTCCAGCTATATGATATTCTGGAAAAAGCAAAACTATAAAGACAGTAAAAAGATCAGTGGCTGCTAGGGATTAGGGATAGTGGAAGGAGAGATGACTAGGCAGAACACAGAATTTTTAGGTAAGTGAAACTATTCTGTATAATACTATAATGATGGATACATGTCATTATACATTTGTTCAAATCCATAGAATGTACACCACCAAGAACAAAGCTTAATGTGAATTATGGACTTTGGGTGATAATGTTGTGTCAATGTAGGTTCATCAATTGTAACAAATGTGCCACTCTAGTGGGGAAGGCTCCCTGGCTGGTTTGGCTCAGTGGGTGGAGCATCAGCCCATAGACCAAAGGGTCTCAGGTTTGATTCCCAGTCAAGGGCATGTACTTGGGTTGCAGGTTTGATCCCCAGCACTGGTCAGGGTCAAGCAGGCAGCAACCAATCATTGTGTCTCTCTCATATCGATGTCTCTCTCTCTCTCTCTCTCTCTCTCTCTTTCTCTCTTCCTCTCTCCCTCCCTCCCATTTTATCTCAAAATCAATGAAAAAATATCCTCAGATGAGGATTTTTTTTTAAAATGGGAAGGCTGTACAGGTGTGGGAGCAGGGATTATATGGAAAACTCTGTACCTTCCTCTTAATTTTGATGTGAATTTAAAACTGCTCTAAGTTTGGCTCAGCAGTTAGAGCATTGGTCCGTGGACCAAAGAGTTGTGGGTTCGATTCCAGTCAAGGGCACGTACCTCAGTTGCAGTTTGTCCCTGACCCTCTTCAGGTTGTACAGAAGGCAACTGGTCAATGTGTAGCTCTCGCATGGATGTTTCTCTCTCTCTTCCTGTCTCTCCCTCCCTCCCACTCTGTCTGAGATAAATGCAAAAATATCCTCCGGTAAGGATTAAAAAAAATTAAAAGACTTTTAACAAAAATGCTTTGATTCAAGTGATGCAAAGAGACTTATTTAAGTCAGAAATGCATCAGAGTTATAAGTATATATTAGTATTTTATGAATGGTTGAGGAGGAGGAAAAAATCCATCCTCCTTCTATGACATAACAAAGACCCTCACAAATATTTATATTTCTAGAGCAATAATGATATCCAGTTTAACATGAGGGCCATAAATTTAATAAGCAACTACAGCCCCGGCCGGTTTGGCTCAGTGATTAGAGCAGTGGTTCTCAACCTTCCTAATGCTGTGACCCTTTAATACAGTTCCTCATGTTGTGGTGACCCCCAACCATAAAATTATTTTCGTTGCTACTTCGTAACTGTAATTTTGCTACTGTTATGTCTTAGGTGACCCCTGTGAAAGGGTCATTCGACCCCCAAAAGGGTTGCGACCCACAGGTTGAGAACTGCTGGGTTAGAGTTGGCCGAGGACCAATGAGTTGCAGGTTAGATTCTGGTCAAGGGCACGTACCTCGGTTTCAGTTCATCCCCAGCCCTGGTCCGGGTCGTGCGGGAGGCAACCAGTCAATGTGTCTCTCTCATGTTGATGTTTCTCTCTCTCCCTCCCTCCCACTCTATCTGAAGATAAATAGAAAAAAATATATCCTCAGGTAAGGATTAAAATAATAATAATAATAACAACAACAATAATAAGCAATTATAAGGCTAGCCCTCAGCCTCTGTGTATCACTATGGCACTATCAGCTGTTTACAGTAGTGGTCTGTTCTGACTGGTCAGTGCACATGTCTTATGAGATACTAATTATTTTAAATAGCATTTGTGAAGACATGCAATTTATAAGCAAAGACTTTTACAATAAAAAAATTATGTTTCACAGGAATTATTGTCACTCTCTGAAATCTAAGTCTTTAAAAAACTCATTTGTTAAACAGTATACAGAAGAGAATGATTTCAGTTAAATATAGAAAAACAAGTCTATTCACAGAATAAGAGAGTAAGACACATAGTTTTATGAATGCTTCCAACCTTATCAAAACTGACTTCATGCCCTGGCCAGTTTGGCTCAGCAGTTAAAGCATTGGCCCTCAGACCAAAGGGTCTTGGGTTCAATGCCCGATCAAGGGCATGTACCTGGGTTGCAGGTTCAATCCCCGGCTCCAGTTGGGGTCGTGTGGGAGGCAACCAATCTATGTCACTCTCTCACATCAGTGTTTTCCTCTCTCTCACCCTCCCTCCCTTCCATTCTACCTAAAAACAAATGGAAAAATATCCTTGAGTGAGAATTAACAACAGCATCAACAACAAAAATACAAACAAAAATAAACTGGCTTCATAATGCAGAACAATGTCTGCTTTTCTGCGGCAATAGGGAAGAAGGAACATTTTCTTCTTACTCTTCTGAGGTTTGTTTTGCTAGTAATTATTACTAGTAAGGCCAGCCTTTTCAAGAACTAAGTATTAGAATTGCAAGTTAGCTCCCAAAGTAAAGGGCAGGCCTAGCAATCTTAAAACTTATAGAAAAAGAAAAAGACAAAAGAGACGTTTTAATCCTTGCAATGTTAGACATGTAATCTTTTGCTTCTACAATACTGATAAACAGGTTGCTTCTGATTCTTCTCTTATAGAAAATATCTCAATGAAAAATATTTGCATTTATGAGAATTTTTTCAGTGGAATAAATCTATAGAAGTGTAAATGATAGGGCATATTATTTTATATTTTAAATATTGGTATGTATTATTAAGTTGCCTTCCACAAAAGTTGTCACAATCTGTCCCCTTCTAGTGTGTGCTCCCTTACATTTTGCCAGTACTGAGTATTGCTGATATTTTTAAATGTAGAAAATCTGGGCTAAAATGAAGTATCACTGTTATTTTAATTTGTACCTCTCTGATTATTGGTCATTTGGCTTCAGGCACGTCTGGATCCAGGAACACAAGCATCACCATCAGTGCTTTCTTGCTGTCGCTTGGTTTTGCTTCATTTTGCACATTGGTTTTGTTTTCCCTACTGCAAAGGAGCTTTTCCCAAACAATCTTAGAACACGAGCAGCAGCACCTCCAGGTAACATTGACACTGCTTACTATCTCAACCCTAACCCTAAACCTTTACCCTAACAGTAGATGGTAACTCAAATCTAAAGGAAGAAATGAAGAATACTAGAAGTGGTAAATATATAACTTAATATAAAAGACTATGTAAGCCCTGGCTGGTGTGGCTCAGTGGTTAGACCATAGGCCTGTATACCGAAGGGTCGTGGCTTCGATTTCCGGTCAAGGGCATGTACCTGGGTTGCAGGTTCAATCCTTGACACTGGTCAGAGCATGTGCAGGAGGCAACCAATCAATGTGTCTCTCTCACATTGATGTTTTTCCCTTTCTCTCTCTCCTCCCCTCCTCCCTTTCACTCTCTCTGAAAAAGCAATGGAAAAAATATCCTCAGGTTAAGATTAACAACAAATAAACAAGACTATGTAAATACATTTTGAGGTGATGAATA